TGAGATTTTATGTTTGTTTTGTCTTAAACATAAAATAACCTGATCCTGTTTGATCAAGGCATGCGACTGTTCTGACTTGTCCAATTTTCAGCATCAGTTTTTCATCTCGCATCAAAATTCTGTCTATTTTATTCATTGTATGCATTTGAAATATAGAGTTGGGTTTTGTTTTATTGTACCCAAGTGTACCTAAAATAAAAAGTGTTTAATATACAGGTTTGTGGCTCTTCATTTCCTATTAATTAACCATTTGTAATCTTATGTTCACTGTTCATTTTTTATAAATATAGGATTTGTATTAAATCTATATTCATTCATATAGTCAAATCAAATCGAGAATTTAAATCAAAAATCGAATCGAATATCGAATATCGAATCGAATTGAGAGCTTGAAAATCGAATCGAATTGGAACATCTGAATCGATACCCAGCCCTAGACATGAGCAGAGCACCACTAAATAGTTACTGCATCAATTAAACTCCAGTATACTACTGAAAGAGCATTGCTGACCTAATGTCGCAGCTTTGGCATGTGTTGAGGAGATGCCATGGGAGGAGCTTGATGCCCTCAATATGAGGCTACATGAGAATGGCCGAACAGTTGGGGGATGAACCAGATAAGAAAAGCAGAGCCAGCCACACAGCTGAGTGATTAGAAAACAAGAGCACTCTAGGACTTGGCAGACTTCTAAGTGAAACAAGACGGGCTTTTCTGAGACTGTGTGTGTTTGAGCAAGAGAGCTCGTATGGATCACAGTTTCCCAAATTACCCAAAGAACATTTAAATTTATTTTGTATTTGCTCTTAATTATGTCCAATCGGAGCATTCCAGTGCTGATTTAGTCTAACACCAATGGGACTTTCAGAAAAAAAACAGCTTTCTGTGCGCAACATGGTAACAAGCAAAGCTTAATGCTTTGGCTTATTTTGGGATCATTTTCATAGGCGGTTAAAGTCATAATGAAACAGAAGTAGCAACAAATCTTTTGTTCTGTATTATCGGATTATCTAAATGGATTATTTAAAAAAAAAAAATAATAATAATAATAAAATAGGGCCGGGACTTGATTCTAACCATTAGTTGTTGATTGGATTTTGACATGTAGACAGAGCACTAAAAATTAATGCAATGTTGCAGTAGACTGTGGAAGGGCATGGTTTAAGTGGACTATATGAGTGGAGAAGCTCTGCAAATGTGACCTGAGAGAAGTTTGAGTTATGACATTCTAATTAAACATCACAGGGTTCAAAAAATATTCAAAAATCTATAACAATCTAAAATATGAACTCAATACTAACATTTTGCTTACTAAACTGTTGTATAAAATCAATACCAAACTCACCATTGTGCTGATGGTCTGAATATCAGCATGACTGTAAAGATCTGCAGTTGAATCACATCAGCACTCCTGTTATTAAATTTATTTCGAATTTATTAAATCTATTAAATTCCTTTCCTTTTTATCTTTATTTTATCATATGTTCCTACATTATGGATTATTCATTTTATCATTTCATTTTATCATTTTACAACACGCCAAATTTCCATTGTATGAACATGTGCAAACTAAACCTACCTTTAGGGATAGTTATGTCATATTTCCAGACAAATTATTATTTTGGGAAATAAGTGACCAGTATGCAAACCCTTGAATTTAGAGATTTGCAGCAAACAACACTGTCAAATACTGTAACGTACACATGGCTAAGCACTTGACATCTATCACAGAAATGAACTTTTCGCACATATTTCGATCGCTATGGGAAATATCTAACGTCATCCAGTCATTCTTGAGACGTGGGACAAAACAGGTCCAGCAAGGGTAACTGCTATTAGCTTTAAAAAATACAAATATTTTCCATTTTAAATGTCATGAGGGATTAATAATAGAATGTATTTAACACAATTATCACCTTCAATTTAATTTTCTCATTATTATACCAAATCTGTTTCTCTTAATGTCCTCTCACTACATCTAAAACAGTGTGTCCACAGAGAAGGGATCAATCATTCATATGCAATAAAATGGATAAAAATGTTTTATGTATGATGAAAAAGAGCTTGTTTTATCAAAAGCAACACTTAATAATATATCCTATCAAAGCAAGGTTGTTTTTTTAATGACACATGCATGTTTCATAAGATTTTAAAGTTGCGTCCCCACTTTTTGTCAACACCATCAGACATTCAATAAAATGTAATAAAATCAGGGAATATCAGGGGCAGCGGTCACTCTAAAGGACCCCCTTGCCACAGTTCACCTCTGCAGAGTACATCAGTGTCAGACAGGCTCTGCTAAGTTTTAGTTTTAGAATATTTTAAATCCTAATGTTAATATTTCCTTTGTCACAGCCATGATATGTCAACACCATCTTCCAATTTCTGAGGAAATTATTTGAAATATTTAGATAATTTTATTCTCCTGAAGCAGGTTCCATTAGCATCTAGCATCAACAGAAAAAACATAAATGGCTACTACATGAACTTTGTCAACACCGTCAGATGTCACCACCATAAGATTTTGTGTTCCAATGATATATCAAAATACTTAAATGTGACTCTTGAATAAAAGCTTTATAAACAATAACATACTCACTGTTTGTTGTGTTTGTTTTAATACAGTAATTGACTGATTCAATGTATTTGATAGTTAAAATTATTAAAAATTCAGGTTTTCGTCACCTCCGTCAGATGTCAACTCCGTCAGTTGCATATTTTGATAATATTTCATTATGATATTTTATATTTGTTGTGGAATTGTTGGTCACATATGAAAGTGTAATCTGTCTGCTAACATGAGAATGTGTTTTGAAATGTTAAAAACATCTTGAATGCTGTTAAAGATAACGCTGAAATTATATTACACAGTCCAAGGTAAAAAAGCACATTTTGTTAAAAAAGAGAAAAGTTGGGAGGTTGTATCAAAGCATAGCTCAGTAGCTTAGTACATATAAGATACATAAATGTAGTTTCATTTGTCTGAGTACAAGGTTTTATTTTTTCAATGTTGCACCCCGTTTTGTCCCACTTCTCAAAAATGACATAACAGCCATTAGTATACATTGAGAGTTCCAAAACAAAATTGTCTGCAAATCCGAGTGCAATTCACGTTGAAAGAAAATGATACAAATCACTAAGGGCATTAAACTCTCAAATAACACACTGTATCTGGCATTATCACACCAGCATGACTGTCAATGAGTAGTAGTGCATGACGACAACAAAAGCTGCAAGACTCGGCCAACAGCGAAGAATCGTCGTGTTTTATAGCGCAAGAATAAATGAAATACCTCGCTTAGTAGTGTATTGAAATCTACAGTCATGTAACAATATGCCAAGAAACCGAAATATGTTCCGAAGAGCTTAATTTGGCAACAAACGGGATTAAAAACAAAAGGTGACAACATGACCGAGACAAGCAGGCCAACAATCAGCTAACGCTCAGTTCGCTAAAGTGTCACATTAAGCAGCCCGAGCCAGACTTACAACAGACTTACCGAATAATTTGACGGCTGGGTGTGAAGTACTGAATTCAGTCGCGACTGGTATGGGTGGGTTTTACAGTTTAGTTCTCGTTTCAGTCCTGCAAAGGTCCTAGCTGCGAATGAACGAGATAAAAATCCTCCGTCGTGAGATTTTCTCCTCCCTTTAGCAACAGCCACAGCGCACAGCTGTCATCAAACCGGGACGCACGCCGTGCGCATGCGCACTTCAACCCTACGTAGACCAGTTTTACTGCCAGTAACATACTATTCGCTACAAATAAGAATATACAAAGTTATACAAAAACCTATATATATATATATATTAGAGGTTGATTTTATTCAACCTCTAAAATCATAAACACAATAACCAAAATACAAAATAACATATTACCAATTGCATTTGCAATATATATATTGGCGTATGGAACTTTTTGAATGTGATTTTGTTTTGTATTTACTATTTGTTTTCTGTATTTACGATTACTGTGTTCTTTCATCGTTATATTTAACATTATATTTAACATTTAAGGATTAATCAAGTTAATTTCATTTTTGAACACTTGAAATTGGCAGAATCATTTGTAGATATTACATTGATTTTACCAGCAGGTGTCGCTACCAGCATATGTCTGATTGAATAATCCTATGCTCTCTTTTATGGAATGCTGTGGAGAATGCTTTGTGGAAAATTGAGTTGTATTTTCAGTTTTGGTTTGTAAATCTTTCAGATATGACTGCCTTTCTGATGATGTTACAATAATAATATTATATTTGCATTCTTAAATATTGCAGAGAGATGCAGCCTACATGTGGCAAAAGATACGTCAAGGAAAAGGAAAAGATTAGATCGATGTTTTATTATGCAGTAATCTGAATATGTATGACAGTATATATGGCTTTTGTTCTAGTTCAGTTGTTTTTAATTTTCTTGAGTGTGTTTTTGTTTTGTATTAAACCACTGTCTTAAACCAGTTGTGTGGGTTCACAGAGACTGTACTCTAGGCGATGCTTAATTATAAGAACTGTAGAAATTAATTTATTAAATTGTCCTGTGATTTAATCTGATATAGGGATTTTCTAGAGAAACTGTTGATAGTTACATTTAAATAGAAGCTTTGTACTTGAAATGCATCATTAAAAAAAAAAAAAAAAACCTACATGCATGCAATGAACACATTATACGTTCTAAGTTCTATTATAAGCAGAACTGTAAGCAACTGTATACAAATTAATTACAATATAAATGAATGAAATTGTCGCATTCTTTTATTTTTTACGGACAATATTATTGCATATTTAATTAATTATATCCTAATAATGACATGCATAAATCAAATGTAAAAAAAAAGTCTGAATTAATTGACAATTTTTATTAAATCGTCTTTTTGATTCAACCTCTAAAATCATAAACACAATAACCAAAATACAAAATAACATATTACCAATTACATTTGCAATCTTATTACAAATTGCACCTGCATTACTGTGCATTTGATTAATACAGTTGGACAGAACAAATTAAAATACATAGTATCCCGAAAGAGATATTTTTATTTAGTAATATTTATATTTCTATATTTATATTTATTCAATAACAAAAATCATTTTGTGCAATGCGATTGTGAAATTATAGCACCTAGGACCTAGGTGATAAAACTATAAACAGATTGAGAAATTAACTTGTAGTTCATCCTGTATATTTTGTCATTATACATACTATTCACCTTGATGTATCTTTTTTTTCTGAGAGTACTTTAGTAGGATTTTTCTTGGAGGTCTTAGTTTCATGGGCAAACAACACAAAATAGCACAAAAGAGAACACTTCTGCTCCTCAGCTCTCTTTGCAGCTGTTCATATTGAACAATCTTATCTTGCAATCTCTATCCTTGATTCTGAAAGTTGGTTCCTCCCCTGATGGCATTCTAAAGATATTTTCCAATGAACAATAGTGTATGCTTGGATGGCAGACCTCACTAGCATGTTGGCTTACCAATGCGAGTCCTGCTTTGCAAAGCCTTCTTGCCTTTCCGTGCAGGAGGTAGAGCAGGAGGCAACGGCCCAAGAGGATGAACTGTCGCCTCGTCTCTCCTCAGCAACATCTGAGCGTCGTTGCTGGTGGAGGTCTCAGCCCCCCAGCCCCACAACGGCTCTGAATTGGAGCGAGGCCCCAGGGACAGAGGTAGGCAAGTTTTAGGGGTGATAGTGGTCATTGTGCGGTTGAGCACTCGTCTTCTAGATGTTCCCAGAGGAGGCATGCTGGGAGGTCTATGCTTCTTGGTCTCCATGGATTCGACTGTGTTTTTTCTTGGAAGTGCAGAGGGAGTTGTGCGAGCCAGCGCTTGTATTCTCATTAAGTTAGTTAGGCGGGTCTCCAGGCCACAGAGCGCCTGGTCTGTGTAGCTTTGCATATCACGGCGAAGCTGAGCAAACTCCTCTCTCAAATCCTTCTTTAATGACTCCAAGTTCAACAATATCTCCTCCAACAAGGCTACACATAACTCTTCTCCTCTTTCCTTACTATTTTCTCCCTTTTCTATCATCTGCTCTTCTACAGTCTCTTTCTGGGCCGCCTGATCCACTGTGTTCTCCTCAGATGAGCTGAACTCAACTGTGGGTGCAGGTTCTTCTTGTTCTTTCTTGCTCTTTAGTTCCCTGGTGATTTGGTTTACAACATCCAGTATGCCCATGCGCTGACCATCCAAACCGGCCTGCGCCCTGATCTGACTCCTCACCAAAGAGAAGACTGAATGGACTCTAGCCTGCTTTTCTTTTTCTGTAACTGCCTCAGCTGTTTCATTCTTCTCCTCCATTTCGTCATGAACATCATGTTCCTCAGCTTCAGCCTGCTTGTTTATTTCCTCCTTCTCTTTGTCATCTCTGTTTCTCCTCTTTTGCAACCACTTCTCCAGGATGGCTGGGTTTTCTTCTGTCTGCTCACTCATGGTGCTCGGCTCTATTTGTTCCATTTTCTTTACTTTTCTTCGCTCCTCATGCTTGTTTTATACTCTTTTTATAGCTCAACTCGTGGCTTATTATCTCATTGTTTCTTCATTCTCCTCTGATATCTCTTATGATTTGTGTTGAGATCATGTCGAGCTAAGAGAGACCAACAGCGCTGTATTTCCCACAAGAACTGTAGCTGTCCAATCAGCATTGGACTCACTCACTGTTCTCTGGGGAAACATACCTCATGTGCATTAACACCTTTCCCCTAAACGCTCACATATGCTCATTTAAATTTCAGATATTGCCAGTCCACTGTATGTGTAAAGTGAAATACCTGCGCTAACTATCTATATTCCTGTGGCTTTGGATAAAAGTGTCTGCTAAATAGGGTAATGTAAATGCAAATAATTATATATAAGTTACATCACACCTGACATAACTGTCGTGTGTATCAACTGTGTTCTCAGCATCATCTAAAACACTGTTAATTAAGTCCCCAGTGGGTTAAAAGCATTCTGCAAACTATTCAAAATGGGGGAGTGGGGCTGCAACAGTAGGCTACTATATTTTCTAGTTGGAAGGGGAGTGACAGGGAGGAGTTTGAATTTTAGCGTCAGAATGACACTGCAGTTCTTTCGAATCATTTACATTAATAGTTACCATATTGAAATGATATCACACGAATATCCATACATTAGCTCATTTTGAGGTTAAACGTTATAATAATAACTTAAGTCAATAAATCACTAATTAATTAACGGTCTAATGAAATGGTATTGTACATTCAAATAGAAATGCAAACTATTTTAAATAAACTACTAGAATGAAAATATAGTTCTAGGTGGAATTAAAGTTGTTATTATTATTATGCAATGTTGACAATTTGGACATTAATATATAAGTTTAATTTAAATTTGATTTTACCTCAGAGAGAAAAAAAATTAGCCTAATCTTCATCATGACATCAGAACTGGAACCGCTGCATACTCACACGGAAAACTACAAGCGCAACTCAACTAGCCAACAAGGTTGAAGGAACAGTGTGCCTCCTCTTTTGCATTCAGACAAACAACCTCATAAAACGTAAAAAAAAAAAAAAAAAAAAAACGCATCATGTTTTATAAAACAGACAGAAATCTGAAGATCGATTATTCCGGGCTATATTTGATTGGTGTTGTATTTTTAGAGTTATACTAGCCTTATAGCCTACATGGTCTTACTTCTTACAGACTGCAGATATTGAAAAGAAATAATAATTATATATTAAACTATATTATTAAACTAGAATGCTATATTATATATTATAATTGTATACTAAACTGTTATAGTAAAACAGTCGTTTATATCATCAGTAGAGCATCTTGATTGCTGCACTCCTCCTCGCCGAAGCGCCGGTGGGCGGAGTCTCACATCCTACAAATTCACATCTGCAGCATATGCACTCACCTCTCCTCATTTCTGCCACTGACCCAAGAAGAAGCTACCTTCAGAAACCACTAAAAGATGGTAAGACGCTTAATTTTAAGACAAATTAAGATTTTGATGCCTTTGAATTGCAAACATGACTGTCCAAACTATTTAAACATGCTTAAAGGTATTGTTTATTTTTCTCTAGACATCCTACACTGACAAAGGTGAAAAGGTAGGTCATTATTTTTAATAACTTGTCCCCTTTCTTCTAATATACTAATATTTTACTGCCACCCTGCATTTCGAACTTTTCTTGTGATTCTTATTAAAACTTGTAGGCAACATCATTACACTATTCAGACTAGTCTGTAGATTTATTCTGCTACACGACTATTTATTGGAATAGAAAATATCCAACAATTAAGTCATTGCTGTAATTGTTTTTATATGTCAACAGCACGAGCAGGGCAGATTTGTCTGCTTTGACCACATCACTTTCTGGGTTGGAAATGCCAAACAGGTAATTATTCAACAAAATGTGTTTGTAGATTTAGCTTGTTTCTGAATATTAGAGGAGGTGTCCTGTAGGGAGATGCTATTGGCTCTTTTTAGGGGTGGGAGAAATAAGCATGCAGCTGCAGAAACTACCATCCTCCACTCACTGATTTGTTCCATATTGAGACTTTTGGGGCACTCGCCAGTATATGGTGCCATTTCCATATACGTGTAGAAAAACTTAAATATGTTTATATACTGTAGCTTCACTTTGAAGTATCAGTTTGCAAGTAGTTTGTCATCATTATATGAAT